TCGGAGTTTGTTAGCCCTCAGGTGAGGGAGTAGTGGGAGCTCTCAAGTGGCAGCCGGAATCCTCCCTGCCTATTTGGCACAAATATATATATATATATATATATATCAAATAATTGATAAAATTATAAATATATCTATATAATAAGATGAAAATATAATTCAAATTAGTCATCATACATAATGCCTTCTATAAAACTTTAAGTTTATAATGAAAATTTTCTAAACACTCTAGTTAAGCTTACTAAATTCATCCATTTGAGGTCATGACCAAGTTGTAAGAGAACCTAAATTACTTTAGCAAACATGATTGTCATTTCCGTAGATGTTATGAAGCAATTGACTAAAACAAGTGCTAGAATACATAGCACATTAATCTTAAAAAAAAAAGTGAAAATTTTTTAGGTACCTGATTGGAGCTTTCAACCCTACCCCCGAACCCTTCCCAAAATATCCCAAAATAAAATAAACATTTAACATTAATTCAAAAAAAAAAAAGACTAAAAAAATGCTTGATAAACAATTATATAACTCTACACTTGATTTATTATCACCAAATCATTAGTGGGTTGTATGAGCACATGAGGTTAACAAAAATAGTATAAAATTAATCCTAAAGTTTTATCATGACCACCTACTATGTCATGCAATAATTCAAGGAATCATACCACCATTCTCATACAATCATTTGCATGATCTTCAATAGAGCCCAAATCTTCCACAAATTATTGCGCTAAGCAAAAGCAAATATCACATTAATCAAGCATAAATATATGAAATAATAGAGAAAATGAAAATAACTTAAATTAATGCATAGCTTCAAGTGAATTCTATATACAATTCGGATCATAAGAATATTTCATTGCCCAAACAAATAACTATTTGATTATAAGATTATAAGAATAGGAATTAAATATTTGAAACTAGATTATTTTAATTAAAAATATTTTTAGGGCATTTACATAGATCCCACCAAGTTCTTATGTATTTGCAACATATCTAACACATCAATTTTTATCTTATATTTATATCACCCTAATCCATTATATCAAATAAAAAATATTACCATTTTTTTTATTTTTAAAAAGTGAAATATATATTTTTCATGCATTGTAATGTGATATATATAAAAATTAAATTTTATGTATAAAATATATAAAGAGTAAAGTGTCAAAGTAGTCCCTAACTATTTACATGAGGTTATTTTAGTCCAAAAATTTATGGAAATGTTAAAAATATAATTCCCATTCTTTACAGTGGGGCTGAAATAATTCCAATGAAAAACTAGTTAAGCTCATTTTTAAAATAGTTGTGGACTATTTTGGCACTTTTGTATGCTCTGGAACTAAAATGGTCTCATGTTTATAGTAATTGACTATTTTGACACTTTACTCGATGTATAAATACATAGGAATCGAGTGGTATGTATATAAAACTTCTAATATTTTTTAGAATGAATGTAATTGCAAATATATGCATATCACATAATCAAGACTCAAGCTCTTGTTTGAAATACAATATCTCAACCAACATGCTAAAGTAGCTTGTTTTGAAGAATGATATTTTACAATCTCAGATTTTAGGCTCCGTTTGGGGCAGCTCATCCGCTTCGGCGGCATTTTGAAAACGTCACCTGACCGTTTGAAAACTGCGTTTGAGCAGCGTATCCGAAAATGCAATTGGTTTTTTACATTAAATATGGAACGCAGGTCTCGCCCCACAGTTCAGTTTTCCAGATAAACAGCTTATCTGGATAAGCACAGGCTACCCCAAACACACCCTTAAACATCAGAGATCAATATAACTGATATAAAGTACTAAATACATTAGATGCACTACTCTCTTTTATCATAATATTTTCTTAACAAAAGTTTTTACCCTCTCAAGTTTTGATTAGGAAGAAGTAAAGATAGCACTAATGCTAAATCAAGCTCTAATTACTTATGCTCCCTTTGTAATAATACTTTTTTTATTATTATTTTGTTCAGGATAAAAAAGACTGTCAGCAAAAAGTAGAAGTGATATACGTTTGGATAACACCTTTTTTATGCAAAAATTGCTTTTGGAAAAACATGTAGTAGAATATTAGGTTTAGAAAAGTAGATTTATGAACTAAAGTATAAAAGCAAAGATGCCACAAACGAATCTTTTTTGCTTTACTCAAAAATCTAAAAGTTAATTCAAACTAACTATTTAGACCACAATAATCATTTAAGCTTAATGCAATACAATAACTATGTTTGTTATATACATTATTTTATGAGGACCATATGAAATTATATTCTAACCATAAACTCAATTTTAAATTTAACTCAAAATAAATAATTTTGAATTAAAAGTTAAACATATTGAACTAGATTCTAATCATTTTTTTAAGTCAAGATAAGTTTCAAGGAAATTTACAATGATTAATGTGCATCCAAAAGTGAATCTTCAAAGCTATCGAGGAAGTCGATATGTGAAGCAGGCATTCGGGGTATATTGGATTGGGCCTTCTTATCATGAACCTGAAATATTCTCTTTTCTAACTAATCATACTTATCGACCGCATCCATCCAAATGATGATTCTAGGAGCTAACAAACTTGTGAACTCCTCCGCTCTGTCGAGCTCCCGCACACTCGCCAAGCTTGTTCATTGAGCTCAACTATATTTCTCAAACTTCGTCACCAATGCCATTTACCGGCCATTCGAGATCGTCGACATGGTAGAAGAAAGTAGAATCTGATCCATTATCATCCATGCCCATTTATAAACTACTAACATATACAACAACATCTTTACAACATGAAATTTCAATAGACTTCGTATAATACGACCTATAACATATCATTTCTTTATTCTTGTTCTCTTTTCATACTTTTTTTTTTTTTTTTTTTTGAATGTTGAATATTTAATTATAATTAAAAAAAATAAAACACTGCGCATCAATGCGTTTTTCCTCCTTGTTAAAGTTTGATGATGACTTGAGATTAGAAGCAAATGGTTGTGGTGTCATAGAAGATGCTCTTTATCTATACTTAGTCTAAGTTGGTTTGAGATAGATTTCATTAAAGTTGATGGTGACATATCAAGAAAACCATATGATATTCATAACAAATGATTGACTGAATAAAGTGAGATCAATAGAATAAAATAAAGTAAAACATAAACTAAATAATAAAGTGAATTCAATGCACCAGAAAGAAGAGAGATGTAAGATTGATGTCACCCAGTGGTGCTGTCATTTGTTCTTTGAAGGTTACAGCCATAGGCAACAATCATTACAAATTTAGGGAGATTTCTCTTTTTTTTATTTTTTTTTATTTTATTTTTTTTTAAATGTGCATAATTAATAAAAGGGGCATTTACATAAATACCACAATTATTATTCATGTACATTTTTAAAACTTATATTTTTTATATGCAACACAATGAATAATATTATATTAGAAAATATCACTATAGTTAACTTTGCAAATGTATAATATACATTTTTATTTGGAAAAGAAATGTAAATATCAAATTTTAGGTGTTAGATATGTAAATACATATGAATTGTGTGGCAATATCTAAATTTTCCATCAGTAGAAATAAGGTACCATCTTACAGATGATTAGTGTGGCATGCTCTCATACTAAATCATTTGTTGTTGGGGAGAAATAATGCTAAATCTGATGAAGCATTAGGAATTGATTTTAGTTTTTAGCAAGCCTAAAAGTACAATAGAGAAAAAAAAATAGTGAAAAAATGCCTTTTAGTGCAATTATATAGAAATGTTACCTATTTAAATCAAAATTTGAGCTTTAAAACATGCTCATAAATATGCTTAATGATTTTCATCCACAAGAACTTTAATCATTCATCAGCATTTGCATTTAAGCTATAAAAAGCACAGCATGATGCTCAAGTTCTATTCACTTAATTTAAATGCAGAAGCTAAATCACTTTCATAAGTAATTTATAATGCTGGAAATCAATATTGATTTATAACTACCACAAAAACTAAAAACTATTTCTTCTTCTTTCTCATAAGAACACGTTACAGAGAAAACATACAAAAGTGCAAAAGCATTGCAGCAACAGATTCCATTGCTCATCTCCACCTCAACAAAAACCAGTTTAACTTTGCAAAAAAGAAATGAAATTTTGCTAACATAAAGTTAAAAACAATATCCGGTACAGACCAAACTATCTACAGCATACATTCTGTAAGATTAATCCAGCGAGATAACTTCACAAGGCATTAGAGCAGTAATCTTTTCACCACTTCCATCTGAATTGTTAGCCATCTTCATCCTCTTCCTCCTTTCGCTTCTCCTATTGATCAGCGGTTCGGGATCTTCTTCTGATTCTTCATCCGTACAAACCCCTAACAGTTTTATCACCAAATTGATTTCTCTTCTACGTTTATGCTTTCTCTGCTCTTTTGTGTTAGAGAGATTGCCGATCTTCTTGCAGGAGGTTCTACGCTGTTTCGGTATTTCTGGCCCCGCGGCGAGAGATTGGGTCCTTAAATCTATCACAGTTAACTTATTGCTATCACCGCAGAAACCTGCTTCGGAGGATTTCTTGCCCGGGATTTTGGGTTTGTTATCATCAATGGATATGTAATCTTCCATGTTTCTTGGCCTTTTTATGGTCCTCTTATCCTTCATTTCCTCTGCTGGAGGCAACCTTTGTCTGGCCTGTTTATGAAGCTGTGATGAGTTGCTATGGTTGTCTCCTTCATTCTCTTGGACGCCTAGACATGAAAGTAACAAAAGCTTGTGTTGGAAGTATATTAGGCGAACTGTTAACGCATATGTTGGAGCACAAAAGGCTACACAAAGGTGAGGAACATTGCAATTTAAGATATGATAAAACCATTTATTACTTTATAAAACAGTAATTAGACTGGTTTATTGATGGCATCCATGTAATCAGGAATTATGATGATCGTATAAAATACAGGTTCGATTGGGAACATTTTCATGTTTTATTACTAGATTATACAAAAAAAACTTGTTTCATGTATGTAACAATGGCGATGTTTTATTCATTAATAGGCTTTTATGCATTTTAGACATCTATCGAGCCTTGAGTCTATGTAAGGGGTTCAAATCTTGTATTAGGCATTACTTGATCGATTAATTAGAGTAGATTATGGTTTTACAAAACCAGTGTTGGCTTCTCTTTCTCTAGTATTTCCCTTCCTCTTATTTTCAATCTCTTCAAGTACTCATAAATCTTTTAATTTAATTTTCGCTTTGTCGCCCATTATTAATTTGGTATCAAAACATTACTTTGATCCTATTCTCATCTTGTGTATTTGGCATCAAAACCTCACTACAGAATTTCCTCAATTGCTAAAAGAGGCCACTATAATTAATACTCTTAAGCCCCTTACAAAAGTGATTTATCATATTGAAGATATAAAAGACAACAAGCTCCTTTTTATGACAATCTAAAACAAGATTCCACATTATATTTGATTTAATAATTAAATCTTCAGTTGAACTTTGAATTTTAATCCAAGCATAAACTCAAATGTTTTAGGGGCCGTCTGAGAACATATTTAAGGTGGGATTTAGACATGATTTAAGAGGAAACTTGCCATATGGTCATTTTGAACAAAATAAATCCTAGGAAGCGATAAATCCGAATTTCAAGGATTTTGGTCGTAAATCTACGAATCAGTAGATTTAACATCACGCGCTTTTGATTTAAGGCGCAGCTTGGTAATAGTTGTGGCGCAGCTTGTTAACTGCCAAACAATTTCATTGGATTTACAGGGTTTACTAAATCTATTGCCATAGAGTTTTCCGAATTAAACCAGGAAGGATTCCGTAAATCCATATTTACAGGATTTACTAAATCTGGGATTTACTGAATCCTAGTAATTAAAATCTCATATATTGCCAAACAGAACCTTAGTGCCAGCACTAGAAACCACACTTAAGGTTGAAATTGAATCTAAGAATGTAAATGATCACTTCATATTTTGCTAAAATTACAAGTTTACCTATCATTTCTCATTCTCTTGGCTCCAAGAAACTATCTCATAAGATCTCTCAATTTCATCATAGTTCAATGTTTATTAGATATATCACATTAGGAACCATTTGGTGAATAGATATTAAGCTGCATATTAATGAGCTTTATATTTGACCTCTACCATTGAAGTGTAAGACTAAACATCCTTTTGACACCAAAGATAGATAAACTATATTGTATTCTGATTACCCACTTTGATCAATTGTAGTTTAAGGAAAAGGTAGCATTTCTAAGATGCTTATCTATGAAGAAAGTCAATTAGTACTGTTAGGAAGTTCTTTAAACATTCTTAGGAGATTGCCATATGTAATCGAACTTTTAAAAATGTGATATATCATACTTCATCTAGAATGCTTTTAGTTTAATTCATTACCCATGTATGTATTTTATTTTAAATATACTGTCATTTATAACTGCATGATTTACTTGATGGCAATACAAAAAAAATAAATGTCATTCATAATAAAACATACATAGTTGTGGCACATGTTCATTCTAATATTCAGGGTAATAAAAAATTACACTTTAGTTTATCTCTATCATATATATATGCTCTCTAACGTAGTCATAAGGCCTTTCTATTTTTGTGGGGGAGAATTATTAGCTATTGTGGTTATAAAGGCCTTCTCTTTCAAGATGAACATTAATAATACTTTCTATTTAGAGATTTTCTAACTTTTAGAGGTCTTTTGAGGCTCTAAAATTTCTAGAAGTATATTAAGTCTAGCATTCCAACCAACAGCACCAATTCTAATTCATCCACCAGATCTTTTGGAGAGAAACTCATACCTCAAGAGAATAGTTGAATTCAATTTGATCATAGTTTATGATCATCATCTACCGCAATTGAATAATTAGATAGGTTTTTACTTTGTATTTGACTTAATAATTATTTTGGATGCATATATATATATATATATATATATATGTTTTAATTGTGTTTCATAAATATAATAAGAATTTTTTTCGTTCTTGATAGTCTTAATGCATTTTAGTTAAGCACTGAGAACATGAGTCTATATAAGTAGTTCTAATCTTGCCATATCTTCCTCTGTTTCGGTCCATCCCCTTCCAAACCCTCCCTTTTCAGACCACCAATTCACCTCTACTTGAAACTTTCACTATGTCGCTTATTATCAATAATTGTATTCATATTAGGTGCCCTATTAAACATAATCCACGAGGAAAGAATAATGGCATTTAAACTATTTACATGCAACTAAGAATGATAAACTATGAAGTACTTCTAGCATAGAAAAAACACGTACATAACCACCAATATATATATATATATA